TGCTCCTCGCCGGGGAAGAGCGCCGCATCGCGGGCCGGGTTCGCGGCGCCCAGCACCGGCTTGAGCTGTGCGAACACGGGCTCGTCCTGCGCGGCCGGCGGCTGAGGCACAGGTCCCAGGCGGGCGCTCATGGTCAGCACCCGCGTAGCCATGGACACTCGGGGGGCGGCTTCGGGCGCGGGGCGCGGATCGAGCGCGCTTCCCACCTCGCCCACGGTGGCTCAGGCCGGCGAGCTCGGCGCGGGGCCGCGGGAGGAGGAAAGGTTCCGGGCTGACCCCTCAGCCCACAGCAGGCACAGTTCCCGAAGGCGCGCAAGGAAAGCAAAACTCTTCCGCTCCGCCACGCGTAAACGCCAACGTCCTCCGGGCGGCCACTTTCTCCCGCCCCGCCCCACCGACTCTCTCACTCCCCGGAGCCCGCTCCCGCCACCGCCGACCTCCGCGAGCGAGCTGCGAGCGCGCGTACCTGCCCCGCGACTACTGACACTTGACGCCCGCCTCTATTTCACCAAACTTCGGGTGGGCGGGGCCCTCCGGCCTGACTGGCAGCGCGGCCGCGAATCCTGAGGCGCGGAGGCGGGCCGGGCCAGAGGAGCCAGCCTATGAGGAGAAACTTTCCCCCCAGGCCCCGCCTCCGCCGGGCCGACCGCACCCCTGCCGGGCCACGAGCTTCGCGCGCAAGGCGGCCGCGCGGTTTGTACACAACTCCTCTGACAGATTGGGCTGGCGGAGCCGGGGGCGGAGGGAAGGAGACGAGCCGGTGGAATCTAGGAAGAGGGGGAATGAGGGTGGAGACGCGGAGGGAGATCTCTTCGGATTGTTCTCCGCCAGGATTAGGGAGAAAAAGAGTGACTGCACGTCTTCGGGGTTGTGCAAGGACCTGAAACTCAGAAGCTGAAACCCACAAGGCGGCTAGGTGGGGGCTCTAAGCTTTTGAGAAACTGGTTTAAGGAGTGTGTATATTAAAATATACAAAATGTACTTTTGTTTAGCGGAAAACTAGGGGCGGTGTGATAAACAAATTTAAAACAGCTCTTGTCTCTGTGTATCTTTAGCGGTGAATGTATCCATTTAGCAAAGCAAATTCGGAATGTCCTGAATAAAAGATTTAGTGGCAAGCATTTTTTAAAGTCCTTGCATAAAATCCTGGTTCCTCCCCCACCCCCCTTCAGTATTTAGCTAGAAGTTTTAACACACATTTCTACCTGCTAGTATCTGTGTGTGGGGAGGAGGGGGATGGGCCATATGAATTTCGAAGTTTCAATATTTAAACTATGTTGATTCTAGCCGAAGCCTGGAATCTAATTTAAGCACTAACGCCTAGCTCAAATGAGTATTTAAATAGACATTACATCTTTGACTTATTTTTGCTAGCACTGTATGTTCAAAAAAAGGGAGTTTAATGTTTACAAAACAGAAACAGCACATTTACCTAACACCGTGGTACCTTTTCCTACGAAAAGACGACCAAAGAAATCACAAACATTAGACACGCAGCGGCTCTGAAAACTGGGAATCCAAATTTGTAGGAAAGTAATAGCCAGATACATTACCGTCCATTTACTATGTTATTATAATGGGAGAGTGAATTTTTGCCAGCAATCACCTAAGGAAACCACTTCCCTTAATCCTCAATGTTCTTGTACATGATTTTATCTGGCTTATTGGGAAGTCAGAACAATAAACTGCAATAAAATTGCCTGCAATATTACTACATATGTATATATGTTGACAGCACGCTATATACCATTGGACAATTTTACATATACAACAGGCTATTCATTACAGCTTTAAAAAAACAGAGTTCTTAGGAAAAAACGTTCACTTCAAAGAGTATATCAAAGGTATGGATCTCATTTTCAATGTACAGATAAAAAATTAATATGTACATAAGATATTAGACGTATTCATTTATTATTAGAAAAGATAAAATTATGCTGTAAACTAGATTTTTCTCCTTTTCCTTCCCTTCCTGTTAATACAGGAATATAATATTTTTATAGCTGTGATCGCTACTTTCAGAGAATGGTTAATGACTACTTTCATGTTACCAAAGTATTATTTAATAAGTGTTCTTGTAATTTTTTCCCTAAGCAAACAATTCCTTGCTGTCAACCTTCATCTTTAAAAAGCTGTCCTGATTTTCTCTAGTATTAAACCCAAACATGTAATTAAGTAGCTTAGAAACAGGTTATAGAATTGGTATGGGATTTAATGTAATGTCTTTAAAAAATTGAACTTTGAAAGATTTTTAGTTACTTAATGCTGATAACATGATCAAACCAGAATGTAATATAGATCATTCTTAGTAGAACTTCTTAC